TTTAAAGAAACCCAAACACTAAGGAAATGCTATAAAATGTGAGTAAATACTGGATCATCAGAAAAGTCATGATGTATTTTTCCATGTTTTTCCATGCAAAAAATGCATTAAGACTTTGCAGAAGATCCAATATAAAAGACTCTATAGCTTATCTTCAAATTTATTTTTTTAACCTTAAATAGTTAAGTAGTGGGGCCAGCAGGTGGCATGGCCGTTAAATTGCTGGACACCCCCCCCACCCCGGTTTGAGTCTCAGATCCAGTTGCTTGAGAGACACTCCAGGCACATGCAAGTGCATGCTCAAAATCCTGAGAGAATGGAGAAGAGATTGTGGCCATCCCCTCTAGGGAGTGAGTTCTCACTTTCCCTCTCTCTCTATCTGTCTCTGATGAGTTCATGTGTCCTATACCAAAAAATAAATAAAATAAAATAAAGACATAAATAGCAGTAAATAAATAACAATAACTAAGTATTATGTTGATAGGTTAATAAAATACATGCATGTAATATACATAAAACAATAAAATTGCATCATATATACAAAAATACAACAACAAAGGACAACAGTGAAGAAGAAATAGAAAGACAAAAGAGGTAAATAGCTTAGTTAAATAATAGCAAACACCTTTCTGAATTTGGAGAAATATAAATAGATGTAGGAAAAATCAAGGTTTTCAAACAGATTCAATTCAAACAACTCTACACCAAGACATATTATAATTTAACTGTCAAAAATCAGGGGCAGGCAGCCAGCAGGTGGTTAAGGGTACTGGAGTTCCACATGGCTGACTGCTGTTTGAGTCCCAGACCTGGCAGCTTGCTTTCTCTCTTTCTCTCTCTCTCTCTCTCTCTCTCTCTCTGTCCCTCTCTGATCAAATTAGAAGGGGTAAATAAATAAATAAAGTTAAATAAAATAATTGTTAAAAAAAATCAGGGGCAGAAGGTTTCCTAGTAATCTATTCTTTTGCATGTTTTGAAATACATTTACATAGTGGGAGAAAAGAAGCAAATAAATTATAAGGAAGTTTCAATAAGGCTAGCAGCAAATTTCTCAGCAGAGACAGGTTAAAATAATGCAGAATAAACTCAAAATGTTTAGAAATAAATGCCAATCATGTAAAGTGTTTATCACAAACTATCCTTTAGAAATAAGAGATAAAGACTCTCTCAGTCCAACAGTTGAGAAGTTCATGACCACAGACCTATCTGAAAAAAAAAAGAAAAAAAAAGATAAGAGAAATTTTTTAAGCTGAAAGAAAAATAGGCTAAATACTATCTTGAAATCATATGAAATATAAAACTCACTGGTAAAATAAGCAAAACAGTCAAATTCAAATTAATCTCATATTTAGTGCAGCTATGTAAATAAATTATTTATCTGGTATAAAGTTAAAGAAAAATTATTAAAAATAATAGTAGCTACAATGTATCATGGAGATGTGTGAGATGTAGAAAAGTTGATCTTAGAGAATTAGAGCATACCAGGAACTGAAGAGCAAAAAGAATAGGTCAAGAGATACAAACTTTAGTTAGGTGTAAGATCTATCTTACAGCATGATGACTACAGTTAATGACAACATACTGCATTCTTGAAAATTAGGAAGAATAGATTTTAAGTGTTCTTACTACTTAAAGGAAGAAAAGAATGTCAGGGAATGCACATGCTAATTTGGTTGATTTAATTATTCCACTATGTAAATGTATTTCAACACACATGCAAAAGAAATAGGTATAGTTCTTGTTAATTTAAATAAATAAATCAAATCAATTCTGAAAAAGTCTTGACCCATTCTTGGTGGCACAGGCAGTAATGTAATGATTTGCAATGCTAGAGGCCACATGGCCACCAGCAGGTTTGGATCTCGAGTGGACCTGCAACATACAAGATGCAGACACACAGAAGATCCTGACAAGATAGACAGCTCAGGGAAGAGGATCATGACATGCCAAGACTCCACCAAAGGTGCCTTTATATTTCTCTCTGTCTCAGTAAATTAATAAACTTTTAAAAAAGGCTAAATTTTTACCTACAAGCATGATAACCTTAGATAAAAATGAACCAATTTCTACAGAGACATACATTACCAATGCAGATTCATAAGAAGTCTAAATAAACATAATACAAGCAAAAAAAAACTTTCTAAAAAGAGAAAAACAGAGACAGATTTACTAAGAAATTCTACTGAACTTAAAAGATAAATAGTGGAGCCAGCAGGCGGCATGGTGGTTGGGGTACTGAACTCCCACATGGCCAACCATGGTTCGAGTCCTAGACCTAGCGGCTTCCTTTCTTACTCCCTCACAATCACTCTCTCTGGTCAAATGAGAAATGATAATAATAATAATGATAGGGACCAGCAGTTGGAGTAATGCGTGCATGCCCAAGATCCTGAGAGGAGAATGGAAGAGAAGGGATTGCGGCGTGACCATCCCCCGTGGGGGGTGATTTCTCGCTTTCTGTCTCTCTGTCTCTCTCTGTCTGTCTGGTGAGTGCACGTGCCCTATAGCAAAAACCTTTCCAAAATAATAATAATAATAATGATAAATAAAATAAAATTAAAAATAATTGTTTTTAAGACATGAAGAAATAGTATCAGTCCTTCACAACTTCTTTATAGGAAATAAGGAAGAGGAAAGTCTCCACAGTCTATGTGAGGAAAAGGCAAAAACATCTCTTGTAATCTGAAATGATTTTGTTTCCTAAGGTCTAAGCTGAGTGATGAAAGTTGCCTGATATTAGATTATTAGATTGATTAGAAAGTTGCTTAGCATCAGATTACCGAGAACAGGAGCGCGTAAAATATCACTGAAAATAATGGATCTTCTCTCTAAGGTCAAATTTTTACACTGCACTTGATAAATTAATAAAAATGAGATTTTCCTCTTGCTTTTCATAAATTCAATTATTACTATAACTTTTCAAACTGATTCAGCAAATGGATACTATTACGACCCTAAACACTGTAGTGTCCAGGCCAGCAGGTGGTGTGGTGGTTAAAGGCACTGGACTCCCACATGGCTGACTGTGGTTCAAGTCCTGAACCTGGTGTCTTGCTTTCTCACTTTCTCTCTCTCTCTCTTTCTCTATCTCTCTCTGATCAAACTGGAAAATAATAATAATAAATAAAGTGAGATAAAATAATTCTCAAAAAAAAAAAGAACTTTAGTGTTACAACCACAAACAACAAAACACAGTAAGAAAGGAGATAGTCTTAATTTTTTCTGAATCTTAGATGCTGAGGCTTCTATCCAAATCTTACCTGCAGCATCTCCATCTTTGATCCCTTTAGCCGATACTCTAGATCTGAGATGAGACCTCTCATTGACTGGCTCTGCTGGGCCAGCTCATTTTCAGACTCTTCCAGGCCGAGCAAAATGTTTCTCTCCTCCTTCTCCAGCTTCTGCAGCACCTTCTGCTCCTCAGAATCCAGCATTTCTCTCAATATTTTAAACTCTGCCTGGGCACTTTGTCTGTCACACTGTATGAGATTCTTCAGAGATAAGAAAGAAAGAGACATTCAGTCTATCAGGCCGAGGCTGGGAGCCAGAAAACATTTTCTGTAGGGTAGTCTCATAGGGAGGAAAGATGGCAGCAGGAGAGCAATTCTTTGCAAAGCTGATTTTTCCTATTATTTTCTGTTTACAACATTCTAGCATGGTAACCTTAAATTAGCATTGCCAAAGCCCATGCTGAGCCAAAATGGGACACCTGGCTATTACTTAGCATTCTCTCAGCTGTACAGGACACTAATCCCTGACTATATTACTGCTCACTCCAACCCCAACCCTTGCCTACAGTTAAATACCAACGACAGAATCCTGGGCCATGCCTAATATAATTCCCCAAGAAAATAATAAACTCAAAAGCACCATAGAACAGAGTATATGATTCATTAGCCATCCTCACCAGAGAGGCCTTCATGTATTTTCCTCCCTCTAAAAGCTGTGTTCCTTTGGGAAACACTTGACTGTTCCGTCCCTACCCATATCTAGGAAACAATGCAAAAGAGGACCAATCAAATAACTTCTGCTCCTGTATACTATCAGGGAATAAAAAAGAAAGGAGCTCGTTTCTAAAATAATGTCCAGATTTTCTGCTAACTCCCTAAGAAAGGGTCTCCTCCTGCCTTCCAGGAAGTTTTCTCTTCATGGATATCAGCCTTCCACTTCTCAACTTCCTGCTGCTTCTCCATCAGATCCTTCAGAGTTGCCTGGAGTTTCTCCTGGGAGAAAGGAATCACATAAGAGTTAGTTACGGGCTTTTTCAACATCTGGATAGAAGATAAGCATGGAAGATATCAGACTGATCTCAGGAGAGAATAAATGACAGAAACAATGAGAAAGGCAATTACAGACTGTGACTTAGAAGAAAATGCAAGGTGGGTAAATGTGTTGAATCTCATACCCTTACTAAGACTTGATTGATTCTCTTTTCTTCTGGAGGAAGAAACTGATCCTACAGCAGAAAAAAACCTTAAATCTCAACCGATTCTAGTTACACTCCTTCTGAAAGGGGTAATCAGAGCTTCTCTAGGACACCAATTCTCTATCCATCTAGCTCACAGTACAGACATCATTATTGTCTAAGAGGTTGTAGTCGAGATTTAGTCTTTCTCTTTTTTTAAGAATTATTTTATTTAACTTTATTTATTTAAGTTTGATAATCTGAACAGAGGGACAGAGCGAAAGAGAGAAAGAGAGACAGAGAAAGTGAGAAAGCAAGCCTCCAGGTTCGGGGCTCAAACCGCAGTCAGCCATGTAGGAGTCTAGTGTCCATAACCACCACACCACCTGCCAGCCCCAGAGACTTATTCTCATAGTTGGTGGAGTGCAGAAAAATGTCCATTAAGCTTTGGAAGATAATAGTGAGATACAGAGAAATCATAGGTCTCAGGTCTATTAAAGGTAACTAAATTATAATACAAAGTGGAGATTTTCAAGAAGCTGCTATTTTCTGCCCTGAATTCCCTCCATCCTGGTCTCTTACTTGGTATTCCTGTTCAGCTTCCTCTATGAGGAATGTTTGGTGACCACGGTGCTCCTGAGACCGCTCACAAAGCAAGCAAATGGCCTTTCCATCCTCCTTACAGAAGAGTAGGAGCTTCTCTCCATGGCGTGCACAATGGTGTACCTCTTGCTTCTCCTCTGGACTCAGGTTGGCCTCTCTGAGCTTCTCCACTATGTTGGCCAAATAATGATTAGGCCGCAGGCTCCCAAGACGGTAACTGACTCTGCACACGGGACAGAAGCACTCCCCTTCTTGGCCCACAGTGGATTTGGTTTGGTTTGCAGTGATGCAGGACTGGCAGAAGCTGTGTCCACAGTCTAAGCTCTGAGGTTTTGTCAGGAGCTCCAGGCAGATGGGGCAGGTCACCTCCTCCTTTATATTCATCAGGATTGCCAAAGCCATAGCAGCTCCTCCCCTGCTCCTGCTTGTCTTGGCTTCTGAGGTTCCTCTGAGTCTTATATCTCGGCCTATGGAAGTTAACAGAAGACACACTAAGAAAGGTGTTATTACAAAGAATCCTGATTAGGCTGAAATCAAGCCTTGGCTAATACCAACATATCGAAGGGCAAAAAGAGAAGGAGAACCAAGAGGTCTGGCTTCAAGGTCTAATATTTAAAGATCCCACATAATCACCAGATCCCACATGGCTGTGATTCCAGTCCCAGGCCTTGTGGCTTTTTAACATTTCAGGCACTTGGGCATGAGTGTCCCAAATCTGACAGGATGGAGAAATGGAGGAGACAGGATCACCATTTCCCATTGAGGGGTACTTCTTCCATCTTACTCTCTCTTTCTGTGGTGAGGGCTCATGGCCTCTAGCAATTAAAAAAATAAAGAGAGAGAGAGAGAGAGTGAGAGTAAGAAAGTGAAAAACAGAAAAAAGTTTGATGACTGCAAAAAGAGATTTTCTTAATAATTTCAAATACTTTATGCCTAAGTCATGTCATAAGACAAATTCTATTTGTATCTTCTCAATGATTGTTATTTTTCCCCACTGAATAGGAGTTAAAACTTAGGCCTTTTCTGTCAAGAACTTGTCATGAACCGTCATCTATTCTCTTTTTTTTTCTTTTTTCGGAGAGGTTTTTGCTATAGGGCGTGTGTGCTCGCCAGACAGACAGAGAGATAGAAAGCGAGAAATCACCCCCCAGAGGGGATGGCCACACCGCAATCCCTTCTCCTCCATTCTCCTCTTGGGATCTTGGGCATGCACACACACGTGCCCGGGGTGAGTTTAAACCACTGGGTCCGGGACTCGAACCGCAGTCGACTACGTGGGAGTCCAGCAACATAGCCATTACGCTAACTGCTGGTCCCCCATCTATTCTTTTACATTGTTCTAGGCAAAAATATATTCAGTGTTGAAAGCATCAAACCACCTGGGTCTCAGAGCTTTTATACTTGCCCTCTCAGCATGGAATGCCCTCCTGATATCACCTAGGACTCCTGTAATGTCTCTACTTACATATTATCTCAACAGGAAGACCTGCTCTGACTATGTTATGAGCAGCAAAATCACATCACAGATTGTATATTTGCAATGATTTACCTAATTATCACCACAAGATAAATGAGAATCTGTGCACAATAAGAGTAAATCCTCTCATTAGACATGTAAATAAATATAATAATTGACATACAAACATCACTTATCTTCAATATATTCCACTGAGATGAATCAAATAAATTTAGGATCCTCCATCAGATGTCAGTATGCCACCCCACAGACTTAATAAAAGATAATCGGTGGGGTCAGCAGGTGGTGTGATGGTTAAGGTGGCTGGACTCCCACATGGCTGACCATGGTTCAAGTTCCAGGCCTGGCAGCTTGCTTTCTCACTTTCCTTCTCTCTCTGTCTCTCTCTGCTCAACTTCAATAAAACAAATAAATAAATAAAATAATGACAATGAATAAAATAATTCTTTAAAAAAAAGATAATTGGTAGTAATTCCTTAGATCCAATTAACATTCAGAACAAAGGGTTGAGAAAAATATAGAAATGCAGAACAGCTGGAAGATCTGGGGACTTGTGCCCTATAAATTCCCAAAGCTATTGATAAGAGCCTAAAGGTGTGTATGCACGTGAATAGTGGGGAAGGAGACAACATAGACACATTCATAGGATCACATATGTCAGAGAACTGGAAAATAAAAATACAAGAAATGGAGGTCAGCTTGGGTAAGAAATCTAAAAATATTAGGTGAGATTATTTGATAAATTATCACTGATGAGGAATTATATGCTAGTAACTGGACCAAAATCCAAACACAAAAATGAGTCCAAGCAGAGGGTTTAAACTACTATGAACTTGACATTCACTTAAACAATCATTATAAATTAAATTATCAGCATTATATATGCAAAAGAGCATGTGCTAAATACTAGAAAGACATACATTTGGTTGGGAAGACCAACAATGAAGCTTATTGGGTTACTCATGATTATACTTGGAATATAAGGAACTGGGGCCAGTAGATGGCAAAATGGTTACATTGCTGGACTACCCTGTAGTTGACCGCAATTCGAATCGCAGATTTGACGGCTTAAAATTCACATCAGGCACATGTGTGTGTGCCCAAAATCCTGAGAGGAGAATGGAGGAGAAGGGATTGCAGCATGGCCATCCCCCTGTGGGGCAATTTCTTGCTCTCTGTCTCTCTCTGTCTCTGCAGCAAGTGCATGAGCTTTATAGGAAAAATCTCTCTCTAAAAAGGAAACTATAAGGGACTATTAATATGTGAAGAATTTTTGGGACCAGCAGTTAGCATAATGGCTATGTCACTGGACTCCCATGTAGTTGACTGCAGTTCGAATCCCGGACCCAGTGGCTTAAACTCACGCTGGGCCCATATGCGTGCATGCCCAAGATCCCGAGAGGAGAGTGGAGAAGGGACTGCAGCGTGGCCATCCCCCCTGAGGCGTGATTTCTCGCTTTCTGTCTCTCTGTCTCTCTCTGTCTTTCTGGCAAGCACATGCGCCCTATAGCAAAAAACCTCTCCACCACTGAGGTGAAGAATTTGAAGAAAATATGTTATAAGAAAGAGAAATGTGTTAGGTAGAAGAAATTGCATTTATGAAAAACTTTAGGAAGAGAGATCATCATCTATGATTTTAAAATTTCTAGTGTGCACAGAGCTGCTAGGTCTGTGGTAATACCTAATAAGTAGAATTCACTTTAAAGATTCCAAGACATTTAGTAGTTAGAAATCAGAGAAAAGGAAGAAAAAACAAATATACATTCCACAACATCCCACAATAATTTTTCTCTCTTCCCTATAACGCTAGAAAGTAAAATATTAAATTAGAAATGTAAGGAATAAATTCTAAAGTCATATGATAGTGGCATGGCGAAGGTATACTGTGAGTTGCAAAGACAGAAACCTAACACTGAATTACCACCAAGAGGACAAGGAATATGATTCAGGAGTGAAAATGTTCGAGGTCAACGTAGATGCAGTGAGAGTTTGTCAGATGAGGGGATGTGGGGACAAGAAAACAGCATTATTTGAGATCTTCTATAGGTCTGAATTACCTTTAATAAAGGTGTGTCTTCAAGGCTATGGAGCAAAAGTTAAACATAGAGATTCATCCACTTCCACTGCTTAATCTTATCTTACCTCTTTTCCTGACATCTTTTCATTTTCTGTACCCATTAATCATGAAGCTTATTTTGTTTATTAAAAGACAGAAAAAGTGTCACTTCTGTAAACTCTTTCCACCTGTTTGCCTTGATCCTGAAATCACAGCTGAACTCTGCTTTGGGGAGACAGAAGTCTAAGTGGAGCATGGTGCACTGTAAGGAACTGCACTAGTTCCCTGAGTCTATACGGGGGCTTTAGTAGGAGGACTAAATGGATAACAGGGTGCAGAGCTGGCCAGTTATCATGTCATCAAGGCTCCTAGGCGGACAGACCCAGTTGATGAAAATTCATCTGTAGTGTCATGCTGAAATACTATACTATGATAGAACAGGCATTAAACTAATAAGACGCAAAGTTCCTGGTGACTTCACTCCTGCTGCTGAGGTTACAGTAATCTGGAAGAGAGCATTCTGGCTCTCTTTGGCAAAGTGCTATACAAAATTACAAAATGTTAACAGGATTGGGGAGAACTCAGTCTGGAGAAACACTCTAAACAACTTTCACTTCTTTAAACCCTCTTTTTCTTTTTCTTTTTTTTTTACTAAAGGGCATATACATTCCCAAGAGAAAGAGGAAGAGAGAGAGAGAGAGAGAAAGTGAGACAGAGAAAGGATGAGGAGAAAGCACCTCCCATGGGGTGTTGTTATGCCACAATTCCATTTTCACCATCTCTCCCTCCTTTCAGGATTTTGGACGCAAGCGAAGATACCTAGAGTGTTTCTCAGGCTTCTGGAACTCATACCACATAGCTGGCCAAGTCAGGTTCAGGCTGCCTTAATCACAACACAAAGCAGGTTCCCAATTTACCTCTTTCAAGGATGCCCCTCCCCCAGAATGCCCATACACCAGGACTCCCAGCAGGAAGCTTGCAAACGGCCATTTAATTACTTTCACAACAGATTAAAACCGTCGATTTAAACTCACCCAAGAAAATTCAGTTTTTCTTTCTGAAGGCTTCCAAAGTCTGTCCTCCACAGATCACTAAATATACCTTCATACACCAGTGAAGAAGTTATGATTTCTTCGGATAAATGAAAGCAACCCAGAGATGGCTTTCCACAAAGTCCTTCTACCAGAGGACTTTGTAAGAAACAAAAGTAAAAGTCTCGGGGCGGGCAGGAAACGAGAAGAGGAACTACGAGCCAATGGGATGCCTCCACGTAAGGGACTCTTGGAGGTCAAATTCTGAGTGAGTCAGTCTGCAGTGAAGCTGTGATTTTTGGTCTAAACAGAAGTGCTAAAGAGGCTGCTCACTGGTTTAAACTCCCGTTTTGTTATGAGTCTCAGGATCCTCTTTTCATGCTACTCCTTCTGGCTTTTTTTTTTTTTTTCATTCACCAAAGTATTAACAATTACAATAGAAAATGTGAATGTGTCACCTAGGGAAATGCTTTTTATCTGCTGCTACTCTTGATGCTGATCTCTCAGTTGAGTTCTGCTTCTAGAGGGCACCTATGGCCCAAGCAGAAACATGAGAAAAGTTAGTGATTTTAGATAATTGCCCAAGGTTTCCTGAGTCTGGACTTGGAGACCTTATATGGAAAGTAAATAGAAAGCTGCAGGACAGGACAGCTGTGACACCCTACAGCTCCAAACACAGGGGTGACAGGGTATTAGGAATACATCTGAGGGGCAATCTAGAAATAATACATTATTACAGCATTGGCAGTTAAATAATTAGACTTTCAAAAACTCTTCAAATTCCCTCCTGTTGTATTCTTCCCAGTGTATCATTATTTTTTCTCTGAACAGGGTCAGACTTCGCTGCTAGTCATTATGCAGATCTGGTACAGAAGCCTGGGCTGTGGCCCATAGACCACTCTCACAAAGACTTCTCAAGAGAGTCTCACTGGAACTGTTATATAATCACACATAGCGATGAAGAGTAAATCAGCGCTATTCAATGACCTAGAAAATAAAAAGCTTGAGAAAGAGGCAGTGAAGAACATGGTAAAGGGTGTCTTGTAATCACTTAAGACTATCATTGATATCCCAACCCCCCACTACACACTGCACTCCCAACTCTCTGAAGTGTCCTAAGGTCAGGTAGGGAATTTCTATCTTGTTACTTCATCTTAGACAGATTAGAAGGAGATATATATTGAATGATAATTAAACAGCTAGAAATGTAGATATTAACCTAAATAGATTATGATAGAGAGTTAAATAAACAGATATATAGTTAAAATACAATTTAAATTTAATTGAACAGCTTAATGTCAAGTGTCTGTGCATTTACTCTTACCATGGCAATTACCATCATATTATGTAATTCGTATGTTCTTAGAAGATGCAAATACGTTTCCCATAAGCCTAGAGTAGTTGCTCCTTCTTGTTCATTAAGCTCTTCAGTTAGCATTAATGCCCTTCTCCTTCTACTCGTCTCTTGGTTCGAATTCCCTGAAAAATATGAATTTCCTGGATCCTCATCTTTTACACAGTAGGTCCTCATCTTGACCTCTCTGTCTTGTCCATCCTTGTAGTATCACATGGAGAATGGGAGAGAAAAGATAAAAAACAGTGTAATAAGTTTAGCAGAAGGAACAGAGAGACCTGTGAAGACTGGAGAAAGAAAAGATAACGAATAGCCTGGCAGAGAGTGAGTAAGAGCTGGATGAGCAAAGCCAGGGGTGAAAGAGCTCATCTCAGATGTGGAACATGCAGGGCCAATGGTCAACAATGGAGGTGCTACAGGGAAGAAGGATGTCCAGTCGGACAGTCTGTACACACAACCCATTACCTTTATTCTGTGTCCTCAGGCTAACATCCTAGTGTAACTTGTTAGAGAAAAACAGAAACGCCATGCTTCTAGAACACCATAGATCTATAAAATCTGAATAAATGAGTGAATGTATGCCCACAGAATTTGATCTTCCTGCTTGCAAACAACAAGAGGCCATTATTCTTCCAGATTCCAAGGTGTTCTGCCCAGCCTCTGGCATCATTTAGTTCTAAGTGCCTAATCGACATCAATATGAACTAGTTCAGGAAATTCCCTTATTTTTCTGATTCTTTAAGTACAACTTTACCTAAAAAGTAACTTTCCTTCCTCCTTTGCCTTAGTAAATACAGAGGACGATAGAGGTTTAGCAGGTACACACATGGTATGACCTCTCCCTCTTGACTCAAATCTCTGTGTCTTGAGTAGTTATTCCATGCACACTTCAGGTAACTCTGAGGGTCAGAAGAGTCACAAGTGGTGACCCTGACATGACCCCACTGAATCTGAACACCTAAAAGAGTTAATTAGCCAATTCATTGGGGGTACTCAAAACCTGGTAAGGGACTGTCCTTACTTGACCTCTGAGGAAAGGACTAATATTCTTAGAGTAAGAGGGGGATTACAACATGGGGCAAGAATTAACAAAATCTCAAAGGTTTATTGAAAGAATTTACAGCAGTTTCTTACCACTGCTCAATGTTCTTTAGAAACTAAGACTTTCTATCGCCTACTCCTAACAATTTGCCAATATTGTCCCTAGTTTCCTGATGAGGGAAGTTTAGACTTTGAACTTCAGGAAGAAGTAGAATGGATACTAAAGAGAAAACATGCACAAAGGACAGCCTATTCCTGTCTCTGTCCTTATGTCCTGAAGCTTTGTCAGAACATCCTTTGGCTCTCTTACATACACTGAATGATGATTCCCCATCCCAACAAGAATCTCTATCCAATAATATAACCACTTCCATTAAACAGATGAAAGAAAGAAAGATAGAACTTTCCCTCCACCATTACAAAAGGATCCATCTGTCCCTCTGCCATTAGGAAACAATCCATCTTTCTCTTCACCATTAGAGCCTACCACTCCCCATCTATTTTCAAATCTCCCACCTCCCACAAATTCAGACTTAATAAAACATTCTTCTCCATTCTTAATAGAAAATTGTCTCCCTATGAGGAATAGGAGGCACTTTAGCTCCTCGACAAAGCAAGCGCCCACTTTCTTGTTTTGGTCCAGAACAAAAAACTGGTATCTGCCAACTTTTCTTTTCTCTCTTTAGGGATCTTTTACAAAAGTGGGAATTACTTTGAATATTCCACCTCTTTAGATGGGCCCATCGTTCAAATTCCTCCCCTCAAATTAACCTAGAATACTTTTTATTTTCTTTTTGTTGAAGAGGTTTTTGTATAGGGTGCATGCGCTCACCAGAAAGACAGAGACAGAGAGACAGAAAGCAAGAAATCACCCCCCCAGGGGGAATGACCACACTGCAATCCCTTCTCCTCCATTCTCCTCTCTGGATCTTGGACTTGTACTCACATACACCTGGCGTGAGTTTAAGCTGCTGGGTCCAGGACTTGAACCACTGTCGACTACATGGGAGTCCAGCGACATAGCCATTACACTAACTGCTGGTCCCAAATTAACCTGGACTACTAAGACTCCTGTCTGGATTGAACAGTGGCCCCTTATAGGGGAGAAACTCTTACAAATTCATAAGTTATTCCAACAACAATTAGAGGCTGGTCATATCAGTCCCTGGAATTCTCCCATTTTTACAATACCTAAAAAAAATCAAGAAAATGTATTTTTCTAGAGGATCTGAGAGCAATTAATGCTGTGATTAAACCTATGGGGTCACTTCAACCTAGTCTACCCAATCTGGGTACTATTCCTGAGGACTGGCCACTAATATTATAGATTTAAAAGGTGGTTTTTCTATCATTCCCCTTCATCTAGACAATAAATGTAAATTTGCCTTTTCTGTCCGTGTAAAAAGTAATCAAGGGACCAGCAGTTAGCATAATGGCTATGCTGCTGAACTCCCAGGTAGTCAATTGCATTTCGAGTCTCAGACCCGGTGGCTTAAACTCACACCAGGCATATGGAGGAAAAGGGATTGCAGTGTGGCCACCCCCCTGGAGGGTGATTTCTCACTTTCTGTCTCTCTGTCTTTCTCTGTCTTTCTGGCATGTGTCCTACAGCAAAAACCTCTCAAAAAAAAAAAGTAATCAAGACCCATTTCAAGTTCTCTCTCACAGAATTATTAATACCCCAATGATTTGTCCACACCATATCCATCAAGCCCTACTTACCTCTAGAAAAGCGTTTCTTCACACTATTAGTTTCCACTATGTGGATGATATTCTTCTTGTAGTCCCTACAAGAAGAGGAATAACTGATGGCTCTTTATAAACATACCCAACAAACTACTAAACTTCATGGATTACAAACACATCTAAAAAGGTCCAATTAAAAGTCCTTGACAAGGAGGCCAACAAGTGGCATGGTGGTTAAAGTGCTGGACGCTCCCACATGGTCAACTGTGGTTCAAGTTCTGTACCTGGTGGCTTGCCTTCTCACTTTCTCTCTCTTTCTTTCTCTCTCTAATCAAATTAAAATAAGTGAATAAATAAATAAAAATTAAATGGATAATTCTTTAAAAAAAGTCCTTGACAATATCTTGGGAATACAGTTAAAGCATGTACTATTATACAGGGAGCAGCCCAAATCTGGATAAATATGGTGACCTTTAGACACATGCAGAAACACAGTTCCATGAACAGTCATTTGCAGGGCAATGAATGCCACTAACAAGTGAATATGCTATTTGCCTGTTGTTACCCAAACTGCAGAGTATTATCAGTTTAATGTAAGTCACATGTATTCATCAGAATTCATCCAACAAGATTAGAGAAAAATTACTTAAGACTACATGGAACCAGGTGTCTTTGTATTTTCAGTCAATTAACATCAGAAAACTGGCTTTGCATTCCACTTTCTCTTCCCCCATCCTTCTTTACACTATTATCTCCTTCTTTTACTTTATTATCTCTTTCTTTTATTTATATCTCCTTCTTTTACTCTATTATCTCCTTTTATTCTGTTATCTTCTCTTTAACTCTATTACATCCTTATTTTACTCTGTATCTCTTTATGTTATTCTATTAGTTGCTTACCTTACCCTATTATCTCCAGCTGCCTCAAGGAGTGTCCACTCACCTGACTCTTTGTAGTTCCCCTATACTCAGGCCCAAGTTGGGCACCACATGCTGTGACCTGCACAGCTCCATGAATGTGTGTTCTGAATGGGAGGAGGGGGCTGTAGATTAGAGAATAAACAAAAAATAAACACACCAAGACACACAAGGAAAGAAAAG